TTGTAAAGTCAGTCACTTGAGCGAGTCAATTACACTAAGTATTCATGTAAAATAAACCTATCTAATCACATGTTTATGGGTTTAAGGTTTTTAAGTGAGTATGATCTTAAGAGATTTTCTTTCTTTTTCAAGACCGATCGTCAATTTAAATGGTGTTCGTTACGATAGAATCCAAAGCAAATGTTACATCCTGTTTGAGATTCTGGAACTGGGCTTACTGATATATATATCATTGTTAGTCATTTTAGTTACATTGTAATTATTTTGACGTGCATGTCTACTCATTATTATATACAATACATTTTGCGCGCCGCTACGCATCGAAAGTGTGAACGCTTTCCAGGGGGGGGGGGCTCTTGTAGTGGGACTATTTTGTGAAGAAAACATGATTGATGACATGTACATATTTATTATTGAACATGTGTAACAATAACTGTTTCATTGTACATCTTTTATTTATCTGTACTTGAAGTCATAATTCAAGCGCCAATCTCGCCAACCTCGCCAACGCTGTGGCTTTATTGATCATTTCATGTTATTTCGTCGTCTGGCTGAACACGTGATATTATCACGTGATATCACGCGACTTCCAATCAATAAATATCATTATTCTATAATTGACTTTCTGTGGTTCAAACAAGTAAAAACTCCCAAACGAATTTGAAGTGGAAGTGGAAGAAGTGTTTTTGGTACAGTTAAACAACATGAGTACAATAATGTTTATTTTTCACAAATCGTATTTTCTTCGTAGAAGCGTTTCACTACAAATGATTGCTTGAAATAAACCCACCCAAACGAATCCGTATTTGGCTTCTTATTACCGCCGTCACACGGTCCTTGTTTGCCTAAGTTATAAATACGGAAACAAAAGAGAAGATGTATTTCACAGCATACTTGAACGTTCTTAAATAAGGGAGTCAGGAAGCGGGCCACTAAAGTAATGAGTTCTACTTCGAGTTTACCGCAGCCACAGAGTGTTGAGCCCGATAAGGAACATAACATAGCCACTATCCAATATCCAATATCTTTTTCACGAACTAGAAGAAACCAGTTGATTTCTTTGCGTTCGATTATTGTTCTTTCGGTACGGTTCCAGGTGTTAGTTAGTGTCCAATGAATGGATGGAAGTCTAGCCACTCGACTGTCTAATTCTAGCAAGTTGGCAGTTGGTTGTGAGTTTGTATGAACCATAAAGTTCCTTTCCTCTTGATAAACTTATAATGTTTAGCTCGCACAAAGCAAGAACTAATTAGTAAACTCTGTTACAATCTTTAATTTAACAAAGTCTATCTATAACTTGATTCAAGTATTCGCTTTGTGTGATTCCTGAATGTGCTTTTCAGTTTTGAATCTGAAGACACTAATACAAAGTTATCTCGGCTGTATTGTTTGTCTGGTAACCATTCAGCAAGACAAATTAATGGGGATTGTTACATATTAGTAGACCAAATATATGTAACACCTAGCTTTCTATAAGCTATTATCTATTCAGAAGAAACGTTTAGAGCACCTCAACTACATTTCAGTTTGTTCACGTTTAGGTTGGTCAAGCCCTGTTTTGACCTATGCATCAGACAGCGTCATTCAAACTGCAACAACTTGTCTGCATCATTCCACTTTCATTGCTGTCACGCTTATATAAGTGTTCATACTTGAACATTAATTACAGCCTATGCATTTGTTGATTCTACTAGATTTAGTGCTATTTGCTTGAATAATTTAGTGACTCATTCATTTTCCTGTATATATATTAATTCTATTCATTATTTTCACGGCATTCGCAGATCATTTCGCTCTCGGCCCGTATACCTATGGTTTTGTCAAAATGTAGTGCAAGAGTAGACGTTATCAAGGCTTCTTAGCAGTTTCTGAATTTTAAACGTCATTGGGCGTAATCTAGTATCGGTTATCAGGAATAGTAGTGTAGTGGAACACTTCTACGAAGAAAATGCGATTTGTGAAAAATAAACATTTATAACTGTACTCGTTATGTTTAACTGTACCAAAAAACACTTCTTGCGCGCAACGTTCTTTTCGCGTCGCTGCCATTTTTCATAACGCGCTGCTCTTTATTTGATGCCTACTTACTCCTTCAATAAAAATTCGGGCATGAATTTATTTTTGATTTATGTGACGGATAGTATGAAACATTTAATAGTGATTTCAACCAACCTCGACTCGGTAACCACTAAACTAGTATACGAAGTTAAGTAATTGTATCGATCATTCCGTACAACATTTCGAATCCTGAAACGCTGTGAAATTCAGCATGATTCTAAGAATCTGAAAGACAGAAAAACGTAAAGAAATTTCCTTTGCTAAATCGCTAAGCAGGAACAATACAACTATGTTTTTGTATGAACGTAATATCCTTTCGTAAGTGGATTTACAGGTGTGAGTGGATTCACCTCCCATACATATAATTCCTGAAGTAATATTTATTTCCTAACTCTTTACATCTAACTTTACTACTGATGCTTTTTGTATGGAGTATATTTTTGTTTATCTTTCGTTTGTTTAAGATTATAATGAATATTTCGCTTAAAACTAATAGATTGTAACCAACTTTCTAATGTCATTGAGATTTTTATTGGCTATTCTATCATCATGTTGGATAGTTGTCCTCAGATTGTTGTGTGGATTTAATGATTTCGTTTTGTATAACCAAGATCCAAATGCACTTCCAAATTACGTGGAACATTTTTCACTTGTAACCGATAATCACTTGCATAAACTATGCAATCATTGTGTACTAATTAGTTCATTGTCGGTTGTTCACTTTTGAAGTAATCTAACTTGCAATGTCCGCTACGATTTTTCTCTCGGTATAAACTGACGAATTTAATGTTTAATGTATGACAGTTGAGTTTCATCTTGTGTTATTCAAACCAGTGCATACAGAGTTCAATTTGTGTCTATTAATACTTATTGGGTTTTTGGTATCGTACTTTTACAAGATTAGAAAAGTAGCATGTTTCGACGACTTTGAACGGTCTATCAGCCAGTCAGGGAATGCTGTTGACTTATAAAACAGTCCACAGCCAAAAGGCATGAAATATCAGTGGAATAATAGCTTCTAACTGAATAATAAACCCACATATGTCGAACTGTTTTTCATGGTGGAAGAAGGTCAAGTTCGCATATTAAATGTCCAGATATTGCTCAGTGTTACAGTGCAACAACCTATATCAGGTAGTTACGAACTAGTCAGATATATCAGTTAGAATTCAAACATAATATGTAAAGTAGGTATACACTTTCTCACTTTGTTTAGCCATCACATTTTATATCATCGTATTCTGAATGTCGGAAGATGTATTTGTTTTAATTATAATCCCCCTGCTCTTTGCGCTGCTGAAAAAGTCCTGCTCCAGTCATGTTGCTCGCAGTGGACATTTATCTAGACAGTTTAAAGTGAAATCTAAAATTGATGACGATAATGATCTAACAGGTAGATCCAAGTCTCTCATTGCAGGGACTATTCACCAGCAACGTGTGCCTGTAAAGATTTTCGGTAGGTTTTCTATTTTACGGAACCACGAGCGTATGAACGAAATTCGTTAGGACTTAATATTGACATAATTGTTTTCAAAGTACCGCATTTAGCTTGTCAGTGTCTTTTGTTTCCTTCTAACAATAATCTCGTCAAGCTGTTTAATATTTTCTTAGTATTTCATCTAAACACGTTTACTTGTATCATATCAATTATACGTATGTTCAGCATAGAGAAAGCGTGAAATTTAACCTTTAACTGTAACCATGGGATGTGAAGTACACTGAGAACATTCTCACTATAACCAAAGGTTGCTAGAAGCGCATGTGTTCTTTCATCCACCGTGCACTTTCTCAAATAACTTTCAAAATTCGTTTTCGGGTTAATTTGTATTTTGGTAGCATTACTATACAGAAGATGATGTTGGCGACATTTATATACTAACACTGCTTACAAATGAAAAATTCCTTCAGTTTTAAAATCCATAACCTTGTTAAGGAAAACTAGCAGTTACTCTTGGGTTTTGTAAAATTCTTGGACGCGGATAAGAATATTTGACCTACTTATATGACACTATTTAGTCGTGTCCCAAATAAGAAAACCTCACCCTAAATGTAACTTATTCAAAATTTTCTCCTACTATCCCTTACTTTTTTTTTCAGGATGTCTTAACCTCACGGAGGTCTTGCAACTTATGTAAGGGAATAGACAAATAGCGCCAATATACAGAATTAATTATTGACGATATTTGACTCCTATACCCCCGCAGATTTAAAAATTGTAATGTGCACGAGATACAGTACATAGTAGTCTCAAAATGACAAATGATCGCACAATAATCACGTCGTTAGAAGATCCTGTTCTGTATATCTGTTCTACATCTAACTGTAGTAAAGGGTCAGCAGTTATCTCATAAGATATCCTTTCAACCACACTACTCAACCTGTGGAGCAGCAGACGATTACAAACCAAATATGACTAGAACATGCTTAACCAGAATAGATGGATGAGATATATCACGTGAAGTTTCGATACGTTCGAACAGTTACAACAACACCACTTGCGCCAGTATTTTGATCACTTAGTTTTAAGTAGACATAGCACATGTAGTTGTAACATCCTTAGCTCTAATTTAACTTGCTTTTCTCACCTGGTATTCAGTAATGTTCAGTTGCGTGCACAAACATTTTATGCGTTCAGAAAAATTCAAAACATTCTGGTCCCTTCGTTGACCGTATGTTTTTCATAACTGATTCTTTCAGACTCCTAAATCCTGTATTTGTTTTGAATTTCTCATATACTTTCGTAGATATCCTTCTTTATGTGATAGTTTACGCACTTCATATTATGTAATTTCAGAGGACTGAGCGCACATATTTATTTTATTCTGGCTTACTGATATCAAAGAAGACATGACATCTCGTGAAGGTTCGGAAGTACAAACTTATGATATATTCTGCTTTTTTGAGCTTGAGGTTTGAATAACTAAACAGCGGGGTTTATAAAAGGTGCGTAACAAGGTTTGTTTACAATAGTTAATAATAATATATGTTATCAATTTGCACCCATCGTTCATACTGCTCTTGATTTTTCGAATCACACAAACATTTTATTCAACATCTTATGCAAATTATATTACAAAGCAAATCTTGGTATATAGGTAAACTTGAAGGATCTGTGTAGTTTTCGGGAAAAGGTAAGCCATTCCTTCATTTTCAGTGCAGTTAAAAGTGGGAATTTTTTATAACAAGGAAGTATTAAGGATACACTACACTATTTGCCCTAGCCTGGAGAAGAAGGCGAAAAGTTAATTTGTATGCATCGAAATAACCTTTCTCTTTGGGAAAACGAAAGTATTAACCTAAAATTTAAGTCGTAAATTGCGAAAATTTAGAAATTTGACAAAATGTCCTCATTGTATACGCTTTTCGGTTCGCTTTAAAATTACCTTATTTGGACTTGTGTTTAACTGATCCCTAATTATTATTATATAAAATGATTTGACAACTGTGTGTGACTAGATTTTGCACAATGTGCAGCGTAAATGTATCAAATTTCTCAGATCAATCACGTCATTTCTTTACTTGGAATTATTACCTCTATTCACACAAACTTTGCCAAAAAAATTTTCCTGGACTCTTAAAGTCCGATTTTATAACCTTTTATTTTTTGCATGTGTATAAGCATCAAATTGGCCAGTTCTCAATAAAATTGACCAGATTGCCTTCTTTTCTGCCATATTTACACGTTAGATAGTCGAATTCTTGCAAAACTGTGATGACCTATATACTTTGAAGTTTCGTTTTTAGTTCCCCAGGTTAACTAAATTGCTATGTGCTTGACGTAAATCAAAATAGTCGCTTATTTCAAAACAATTTATCAACTACTCTCTCATAAGTAGCTGTCTGTAGTATTTGCATAGGATATCAAGACAAATAATTACATTGTGGTTTCTCCCTATTCATCAACCTTGCCGTGTCTTATTAATTGTAAAAGTTTCGTTAACTAAACACTGATAATCATAAGCACATTCAAATGTAGTAAATGTGTGAATTGTTTTAAATTACTGCGTCGTAGCGAAATGGATTTATGAAGACTAATTCTAAAGTAAAAGGATTGACAATATTAGTGATAGTAGAAAATATTATCTATCTATCATATAGTTCAGAAAAAAATGGGTGGATTCGCGCTACTAAAAGCTCAAAACAGTTTTAGTATCCTAGTTGTAAAGTTTGACAAAAAGTGAATGCGATCGCTGCATTGTGACTTGTCGATCACGTTACACTACTTTATAATCGTACGTTTATTTTACTCCAGATGACTTAGTGTAGGAATTTAATATCCCCAGCAATAAGACGTCGAGCTGATATGTTAATAACTCTGACAACACTATTAAAACTGTTGCAAAAAATAACACTATACTTATAACCCAATTGGCTGTATTTATGTTATTGCTTTTGGTCAGATCCCATAGGATTTTTCACCTAATCGAATGATATGGCAATCCATGATGAAACTCTCTTGTATATAGCCCAAAGGATAAAAATCCAGATCTGTGCTCCTCGTACGTCTTTAATTCTATCCTAAGTATTTGTTGAATCGCATATAAACACATTTAAAGTATGTTTATCTTTTAAAATTTGGAAAAATTAAAATATACTTTCAAATTTCACAAGTTTTCTGAATATCTTATGAAAATATTTTTGATAAGACTGACTTAACATTCATTTATATTGATGCTACCAACTGTTGGTGTAAGCTTCGATGTTACTTATTTCTGTTTAGTAGATCAATTTGTTAGATGGTATACTAGCTGTTTCAAATATATTTTTTATGGTTTTACGTAACAAAGCATAAGTTTTCACACAAATGCAGTTTCGTTTCCTATGCTATTACCTATGAAAACTTGAAAATGCACATACTTAAGAATCCTTTAAATTAAAAAGGAGTAGTCGATAATTTTTCCTACTGTTTGTGTTCTACACCACAGATTTCTGCAGTCACCTTACTTACTACCTTGTAGATTCAAGTCTCGGCCAGTAAAGTTCATTCATAAACATATCACGTTGTTTGGCTGCCCCACTTAAGCAGAACTTTAAGCTCATTTTCTCTTTTATAATCTCCAGTCTTTTAAATAAATAAATAAAGTCAACAGAGGTAATTTACAAACTTGCGTTTATTTAAGATGTTTTTTTCGGAACAAACGTAAAGCAAACTGCTTTTTAACAAAGTAACATCAAACAAGTATCTACATATTTATTTATATTACTAACTAGTTTTTTTCTTGTGATTGTCATTAAAGTTCAACAACTTGATTTATGAATATTTTTTTCCGATTATTTCTTTTCAGTTTACTGTTTTGGAATTTATCATTAACTGTTGCTTTCATCTTTATATCGAATTGTGTCAATAACAAATACTTTATTTATAATCCAAATAGTGGGGAAAAAAACCTCCCTCATTGTACTCTTCTCCTTGATTTATTTTGAACAATGGAGAGTAAATCTGACGAAAAGAAGAATCAAGATATTGAACTTACTCCATCGGATATCGCCAAAACTTATCGAACTACTGTCCCTGAAGATAATGAATATATAGTTAATAAAGATACTGATAGTATTTTAAAAGATTCCACCAACGAGTCAAAGCGAAAATGGCGACTTGAAGGTGTAAATATTGTTGTATTATCTGTGATCATTTTATCAACTGCTATAACTATAGCTTTAATTTTTAGTATTATTTTTGGACAACCTCAGGTAATGCACGCGCTTACCTTAAATTAATCAGTTTTTTTTTAAAAATAAAGGTTGCACCTAAAGGTGCTGTCGCAGTGGATGATGATTATTGCGGACAAATCGGTTTAAATATAATGCAAAAGTATAAAGGAAATGCTGTGGATGCAATGGTATCGGTTATGTTATGTTTAACTGTAACTCGTCCTGATGTTGCAAGTAAGTTGAATTTTATTAGTAATTCATATCTTTTATTTGTATCAATTGTATGGAAGCGAAATATATATATATATATGTGTGTGTGTGTGACTTAAGTCGTTTCACTTCTCCCATTCTTGGATTCCATGTACGAATGGAATTCTATTTGACTTATTCTATTGGCATCCTGTTTGATAGTTCGAACTGTTGGATTTTGTCAAAAAGTGTTATGTAATGTTCTGACCGTAGCTGATACTTTTACGTGGTGGTCGAGCTTGCCTATCGTGATGACTCGACCGAGATATATTGGCCGGAAATATGTTCCTGTAGGTTATACCTTGCCAGACAGGTCGATTGGAGAACGATATGACTAAAAGCAGCAACTCAATGTCTAAGGGCGAAGTCATAACTGTTGACTGTAGAGGGATGTGACAGCAGTAGGTTACGGGTTTTCGATCATAGGTGTCTTCGAAGCATTGCTCGTATACCGTGGGACAACCGAGTAAGCAATGTTGTCGTTAGGAAACGAGTACTAGGTAAGGATGGCAGATCAATCGATGAAGTGGTCAAACTTCATCAGTTGAGGTGGTTGGGACATGTGTTGCGTATTCTGAACCAACTACTGCCTCGACGAACTTTGTTTTGTAGTGTAGGGGTAGGTTGGAAGAAAGTTAGGGGCGGCCAGGCTAAAACATGGCAGAAATCCATGAAGTCATTGACTAGTGGACTGAGCCATGTCGGTAATTGTCGACTACCTGGTTGGGGTCCGCGAGATATTAGTAATCGATGGTTAGAGACCTTGAATGACATGGCTCAAAATCGTTCGCAATGGCGCCGGTGCATTTATTCTTTGTGTTCTCCCAAATCCTAATCTTCTGGATTCTTCAGCACCTCTAGTTTTTACTTTCTAAACTTTTCTCATTGAATCGTACTTCTTGAATAATATCTTCTAATCCTAACCTCTCCGATTACTTCTAATTCCCTTACTACCTCTACTACTATTGGATTTGAATTGACAATTACATCTCTGTGTGTGCTGATGTGGTATGTCAACATGAACTGATGTACTTACGTACGAAGTTCTACATTGTAACTGACTAACTGACTGACTGATGTGACAGCAGTAAGGCGTTTCTCTCGGATAACCAGCATCTGCAGCGATGCTGTTGCCTTCTCACAACGGAAGGAAGGGGTTAAAATGTCACACCTCACCTTACCTCACGGTTCTCCATCTCCGGTGGTAAGGCCTTTTAAAAAAGAGCGGAGCTAACACTATACAAACTTCGCATAAAAAGACCGTGCGTGACGGGCCTCAAGCAGTTGTTCCTTGGGTTCTGCGGTCACGCTCTCAGGTCTTTAAAACCAACACTGATCCAACTTCCTTTTCAGACTCTTCAAGAAAACAGCCTTCAACGATGTGGGCAGTCGGGAAGTGTAATCTACTCTCATACTTGTAAAAGCACACGGAGCCAAACTAGTCACATTCAAATCCAGTTATGTTATATTGTTTGATACTTAGCTCTCTGAATGAGAACCACCATATTTGCGTAACTTATTCCTTTCTTCCCCTGAAACGATTTTATTAACTCTTGTTATAACAGATTTGTAAATGAAATTCATTTAGTTAGAAACCATGAAAGACTTGACATACTATATGTGTGACTTCAAATGGCTGCAATTTTTATCAACAACATGATAGGGGAATAATAGCATAGATAAAATTGTCATACAAATGACAGTTACAAATTATAATCAGCTAGCAAATACAATTCAGGCAATATGCATCTCTGGACATGGTTCCTGTCAATGAATAATTAAGTAGATGAGTGATATAGGTTACTTTAGTCATTCATATTCAACATTTTCAACTCATTACTTTTTATTAGTCACTATCACTCAGACACACAATTAGACGTCTGACAATAGTTGTGTTCCTGGACCTAAAAGTGGCTTTTGACTCAATGGATCGTGAGGTTCTGTGGTAGTGTCTGTCATTGAAAGGTGTACAAAAGAAATACATTAACCCTATACAAGCTCTCTACTCAAACACCACTGGTCGAGTGAGAGTTTATGGCGTACTGTCATCGGAATTCCTCACTTCAAGTGGTCTCCGTCAGGGATGTCCACTCTCCTCATTCTTGTTTAATTTTATCATAGAAATGCTCCTAGATACAACCTTATCCTCGTCTGAATTTTCAGGAGTAGACCTTTACCAGGTGGCTCGCTTATTGACTTAGAATATGCCGATGACATTGTCCTACTTGGTGAAGACGCTGACAAAATGCAGAGTCTTCTGACTACCCTAAGAAACAATGCAAGCATGTTCGGGATGCGGTTTTCCCCCTCGAAATGCAAAATGTTGCTTCAAGTCTGGGTTTCATCGGTACTTGAACTAGTGATAGGGAGTGAAGTAGTCGAGCGTGTTGATCACTTCACTTGTCTGGGGAGTCTCATCAGCGCTGATAGCCTTGTGACTGACGAAATCTCAGCACGGATACAGAAAGCTCGAATGGCTTTTGCCACTTTACGCCGTTTATGGCATAGGCAAGATATCCGTTCACTAACAAAAAGGACGAGTTTACTGCTCAGCAGTTCGCCCCGTTCTCCTATATGGATGCGGAACATGGCCGTTAAGAGTAGAAGATGTTCGTAGGTTACTAGTATTCGATCATAGGGGTCTTAGAAGCATTGCTCGTATACCGTGGGACAACCGAATAAGCAATGCTGTCGTTAGGAAACGAGTACTAGGTAAGGATGGCAGATCAATAGATGAAGTGGTGAAGATTCATCAGTTGAGGTGATTGGGACATGTGTTACAATGAATGCCTAACCACCGACTGCCTCGTCGAGCTATGTTTTGTGGTGTAGGAGTAGGTTGAATGAAAGCTAGGGGCGGCCAGACCTAAACATGTCAGAAATCCATGAAGTCACTGACAAGTGGACTGAGTCATGTTCATAGATGTAGGCTACCTGGTTGGGGTCCGCGAGACGAAAGTCACCAATGGTTAGAGACCTAGAACGATATGGCTCAAAATCGTTTGCAGTGACTCGAGTGCATCCATTTGTTGTGCTCTCTCAAATCCTAATCTTCTGGATTCGTCAGCACCCCTACCTTTGTCTTTCTAACCTTACCTCACTGAATTATACTCCTTAAATAATGTCTTCGAACCCTCTAGTCTTCTTCATTACCATTAATACCTCTACTATCTCTATTACTATGGGATTTGAATTGACAATTCGATCTCTGTGTGCTAATGTGATGGTATGGCAACGTGAACTTATGTACATATATACGAAGTTCTTCGTTGCCACTGACTGACTGATAACTCAGTGGAATTAAGCATAAGGTGAATTTATGTAACACCTATTCTCCAACTACTTTAACTCATAAAATTCCGAAGCCATTAATAATCCACTGAGAAACTAACTGATATGTAGTGTTAAAAGAATACAGAGCGCTAACTAATCAATGATGACGTCAGCATGTTCATATTAGAATACACTGCCTAGTCCCCATATTTAGCTACTCAGTTATGAATCGAGATGCTGGAAGATTCTTATGTATATTCTTTTTACCACTCGGATGATTTTTCTGATGTATTAGACACTACACATTGTTCCCGCTTGATTTTCATTCGGATTAGCCAGAATTCAAGTGAAATAATATCCATGAAATACTAGACAGTAAAAGAATATAGTGACCTGTTGGTGCTTGCTGTGGAGCTCACCAGATTGCGCCGTGAGGAGTGCGGGGCACAGTTGTTGGCGTTGCAATTATTCGAGAGTGTGCCTGGCGCCGTGTCCCAGCATCGGGAACTGGTAAACGCTACACGTTAGATAGATGCCGTATCCATTCCAGACCAGCGGGCAAGAACGATAACCGAAGTGGTAATCCGGCATATTGTAGCGTGTCACGGAATACGGAAGGTGATATTAACTAACCAGGGTCCCTGTTTTGAAAGACTACGACGACAGCTTATTAAAAGGGTGGACGAGTGTGGTGTGAGCTACTTATAAGTAGTATATGGCGTGAGTATCAACGTAATGTCTGGCAGCATAATATGGGGGAAGATCAAGAAAGGAAGAGTTAGAACACAATGGAATTTGTATGAAACGCATGTATAGTAGTGACAATGGATTGATGTTTTGCAGCAGGAACAGTCCAGTTCGATATGATGAACTGATATTTTGCAAATGAACGATTTACGATATGGTTTTCCAATTTTACTGAGTAACTCTGTAATTTCGCTAAGTACAATTCGGTTGCCCCACCTGTGTTCTCGTTCACTACAATAGTACAGTACAGTATGCAGATGATACAGATCTGTTTAATTCAAATGCTGATAAAATACAGTAGTCTTCTGACTGCCTTCATGAACAATACAAGCATATTGGGAATACGATTCTCTTCCTGCAAATGAAAAATGTTGCTTGAGAATTGGTTTTTATTGGCTCCATAATTAGTGATAGAAAGTGAAATAGTTGAATGTGTCGACCATTTTCACTAATTATTGTCAGTATTATCGACCTTGATGAAATCTCGGCATGGATTCAGAAAGTTTGATTTGCTTTTAATAAGTTACGTCACTTATGAGGTAGGCAAGTTTTCATTTGTCTGCGCTTACTTCCTTGTGAGAAGGCAGCATCGCTGCAGATGCTGGTTGTCCAAGGGAAACACCTTACTGCTGTCACACTCCTCTGCAGTCAGCAGTACGACTTCGCCCTCAGACCTTGAGTCGCTGCTTTTACTGTCATCGTTCTCTAATCGACCTGTCTGGCATGGTAGGACCTGCAGGAACATATGTTCCAGCCATTATAGCTCGGTTGGGTCATGACGATAGTCAAGCCCGACCACCACGTCAAGGTAGCAGCTACGGTCGGGCGTCGTAGCTGACTGACTGAGTACAAAGTGCTAACTAAATCCAATGACTATTCAAACACTCTCAGAAATAGTGTGTACTGTCTGTAAATCCCATTTATGTTCATTTTTGAGTCAAAGTTTATTTCATCGATTGAAATCACCTACTTTTTGACCAATTGAGAATTTTATGTAGCGAGAACTTTACTTCAGTAATTGGTTTTTTAAGTAAGCAGTTGCCTTTCGGTCATTTCAAGTTAGTATATATAGCCGAGAACCCATCACTTCTAAATAGTATTTTACTAAAAATCGATTGTAATGGGTTTATCCCTTGTGAAGCATAGACCGTCGACTAGCAATCTCTAACCAACTCTATCTTGAACTTTCCTTTCCAGTTCTACTCAGTTGCTCTTCGTACTTTTTATATGTTGCCTACGATTCCCAACTCAGTGTGCTTTTTCTAGCCTACCTCTTTTCCTCTCTGATCTTGAGGATTCTAAGTTCAAGCTTGCTCCTTATGCAGTTTGACGATTTCCGGAATGTGTATTCTATTCAACTCAAGCGATTTTTCTTAATTTCCTCCTCAAATGAAATCTTATTTTTTCCTTCCCGCAATGGGTTGTTTCTGGAAGTGTCTGCTGAACGGATCGGGCGTAACTTGTATAGATAGTTTCAAGTTGCCATACCACATTAGCGCACAGAGATCTAATAGTCAATTCAAATTCCATAGTAGTAGAAGTATTAGCGGTAATCAAAAAGATTAGTGATCGAAGATATCATTCAAGAGGTATATTCCAGTGAAATCAATTTTTTTTAGAAACGGAGAGAAAAAAAAGGTCATGAGTAATTCAGAAGATGAGAATTTGCGAGAAGACAAGGAATGAATGCATCTGCGCCACTGCAAATGATTCTGAGCCATATCATTCAAGATCTCCAACCACCGGCTATTATTGACTCATGGACTCCAACCAGGTAGTCTACACCTACCAACATAGTTCAGTCCACTTTATATAAATCAAGAAAATATGTGTATGTCATTCACCAAAAATAGATTTCTTTTGTTTTCTGGTAAATTCCACTCTTGGCATTTGTATACAAGTAAAAAAAGTAAAATCTTTACTAAACTTTTTCATTCTGTGGTGCTGTGGTACGAGCTACTTATAAGTAGTATATGACGTGAGCGTCAACGTAATGTCTGGCAGCATCAGAAGATGGGGGGAAGATCAAGAAAGGAAGAGTTAGAAGAACACAATGGAATTTGTATGAAACGCATGAATAGTAGTGACAATGGATTGATGTTTTGCAACAGGAACAGTCCAGTTCGATATGATGAACTGATATTTTGCAAATTAACAACGGTTTACGATATGGTTTTCCGATTTTACTGAGTAACTCTGTAATTTTTCGTTAAATACAATTCGGTTGCCCTCACCTGTGTTCTCGTTCACTACAATTCTACTATTTCCTACATTAAACTCAATATATGTATATATATTTACTCACTTCAGAGAAAAAAGAATCCTATTTTCATACAACTTTAAACTAGTTCTTGGCAAATGTAATAAAAACAAGTATGAAATGATTACAGCCATGCACTCTTATTCAATATTGATTTCAAACGCATAATATTCTTATTCTTATTATTGTTATAAACAATTGTCAAATGATTTTTTCTTCTGTTTCATGTTAAGTGTGTATATATATGTTTCATTTAGTAAGTAGTTTGACAAAATTCTTACTTATATGAAGGGAAGCTTATTTAAGAGTATATAATATATTAGTGTAGATCCTATCTACCTTTTACGGCAGGAAGGAATCACTGTTAGACGATTACCATCATCAGAAGAAACATGGAAGCATTGAAAGACAGCAGATTTCTCCTGGTATGGGACTCATCAGTGGCCGTGCGCATCCACGACTCCTGCTAGGCGCAGTTAATCGAACCTAAGACCTTTGGTCTTGCGCGCGAACGCCTAACCTCTGTCTGGACCACTGGGCCGAGATCCGACGATGTTAATGTCTAACTCTAATCATTCTAGGGATTATTTTGCGCGACTTCACCCATTTGTCTTCGGTAGTTACTGCCTACAGCTGACAGGGTTAAAAACTCCACTGGTCACGTCTTCTTACTAGAACTCCGTGAATTTCCTCACAAAGCTAGTCACTAGTGAGCACATTGTATGATTCTTCATTATAGAGTTATGGATTGTAGGAAGGATTTGATTGTGAACAATTCGGTCTCGCGTGCTGTTACGGGTATGAGGGCGGATGTCATTTCCCAGCTGCCTACACCGTGGAAGGGTGTTTCTTGAGGAATATGAAAAAGAAATTGGATTAGTGTCGGTCTCAGAGACCTGGGAGCGTGACCGCAGAGCCCATGGGACAACTGCTTGAGGCCGGTTACGCACGACCTGTTTATGATAAGTTTTTGAAGTGTTAGCTCCGTTCTTTTTAAAAGCCACTACCGCCGGAGACGGAAATCCGTGGGATAAGGTGAGGTGTGACCTTTTTAGGGTCGACCTTTTCTAACCCATTTCTTCCTTGTGAGAAGGCAGCATCGCTGCAGATGCTGATTGTCCGAGGGAAACATCTTACTGTTGTCACACCCCTCTACAATCAGTAGTACAACTTCACCCTCAGACCTTGAGTTGCTGTTTTTAGTCTCATCATTCTCCAATCGACCTGTCTGGCATGGTAGAACCTACAGGAACATTTGTTCCAGCTAGTATGGCTCGCTTGGTTCATCACGATATATAAGCCCCACCACCACGTCAAGGTAGCAGCTGTGGTCGGAAACAACCAGGAGTAAACTTGTGTATTAATCTTTCAAGTATGCTTATTTTCCCTGGCTTACAGATACCCTTCTGGCTAGTTAAACTCAATTTACTGGGTTATTATTGAAACCAGCGGTTTTCTCAATCGATTATTTGAGAAGGTATATATAGGTACAATTAACCCTTTTACACAGTAGGATTTAAGGCTTGCCCCATGAGATTATACTGTTAATACATAAATGTTTGTGACATACATTTTTACCTTGTTTTAGGCTTAGTATATAATTCTAAGTTATTTCATCGTCACTGATCCTCAAACATTTGTCTTACTGGCGAACTGCAAGTTTGTTTACTGTTTAAATTTTATAAACCAAACTATTATCAGTCTTCATTTGTGTTAGTAACGGATACAAGTGTATATCAGTTCAATTTACTACACTTCACATTACTTTCAATTATTTCCTCAGTTTTTTTTTTGGTTTGTTTTTCCCAATATGATAGGTGACAAAGTGTACTCGTTATGTTATTCAACGAGTAATTCATTTTGTGCAACACTACTAACTAATTCATATCAGTAGTATCTTTACTGTTCATTGTATCTTTTTCCTGTTGTTTTATTGTATACATGTGCTATTTTTTTTAAAAAAAAAATTTGAATCGTTTTTAGGTTTAGGCGGTTGTGGTGTTGTATTAGTACGTGATCGTAATAAACAAACAAGTCATTTATTTGATTTTACATGCCCTGTTCGTAATAGTGCTGACACAGTAAAAGATAAACCAGATAAAAAGAAACCTGCAAGTTTAGTCGGTATTCCATCTTTAGTACGTGGCCTGTCAATGATACATCAACGATTTGGTTTATTGAAATGGTCCGATTTATTTGTTGGTGCAATTAAATTGGCTAAAAGTGCTTTTATGGTAAGATTTGAATAATGTTTGATTTACCTGCTGATGAAAACCTTGTTGTGCACAAGTTTACATGTGAAATACATTTACTTACTTACCTACTTACACCTGTTATCCCTAACAGAGCATAGGCTACCGACTAGCATTATCCAGCTCACTCTGTCTGCGGCCTTCTTTTCCAGTTCTACCTAATTTCAGTTTGTTTGTTCTCTTTTCATGTCTGCTTTCGATTCTCCGCACAGTGTGTTATTTGGGTTTTTTCCTCTTTTCTATTGACGTTGAAGATTTCAAGTTACGACTTGTCTTGTGACTCATTTAGGCGTAGGTTACTGGTTTTCGATCATAGGTGTCTTCGAAGCATTGCTCGTATATCGTGGGACATCCGAGTGAGCAACGCTGTTTTTAGGAAACGGGTGGTAGGTAAGAATGGAAGATCAATAGATGAAGTGATGAAACTTCATCAGTTGAGGTGGTTGGGACATGTGTTACGTATGCCCAACCACCGACTGCCTCGTCGAGCTTTGTTTTGTAGTATAGGAATAGGTTGGAAGAAAGCTGGGGGCGACCAAAACAAAACGTGGCAGAAATCCATGAAGTCATTGACTAGTGGACTGAGCCATGTCGGTAATTGTCGACTACCTGATTGGGGTCCGCGGGATGATAATAATCGATGGTTAGAGACCTTGAATGATATGGCTCAAAATCGTTCGCAATGGCGCCGGTGCATTTATTCTCTGTGTTCTCTCAAATCCTAATCTTCTGGATTCTTCAACCCCTCTGGTTTCGACTCTCTAAACTTTTCTCACTGAATCATACTTCTTGAATAGTATCTTCTAATCCTAACCTCTCGGATTACTTCTAATACCTTTACTACCTCTTCTGTTATTGTATTTGAATTGACAATTACATCTCTGTGCTGATGTGGTATGGCAACATGAACTGATGTACTTATGTACAAAGTTCCACGTTGCATCTCACTGACTGACTGACATTTGGGCGTTTCCCGCAATGTATGTCCGATCTACGTCTAGTGCTTTTTCCTGATTTCTTTGTCTGCTGCGATGTGGTTTGTTCTTTCACTCACTAGGTTTTAGTTGATTGGTGTCTGGCTAACGGACTCACAGTATCTTGTGTAGAAAACTGTTAACAAACACCTGTATCTTGTGGATTTGAGCTGATAGTTGCGTCTCTGTGCTGATGCAGTATAATGACCTGAACTTATGTACTCATGTATGAAGTTCTACGTTGTAACTGACTGACTGTCTGACTGTTTTCGGTCATAGGCGTCTCCGAAGCATTGCTCGTATATCCTGGGACAACTTAGTAAGCACTGCTGTCGTTAGGAAACGGGTACTAGGTAAGGATGGCAGGTCAATAGATAAAGTAGTGAAACTTCATCAGTTGAGGTGGTTGGGATATGTGTTACTACGAATGCCTAACCACCGATTGCTTCGTCGAGCTATGTTTTGTGATATTGGAATAGGTTGGAAGAAGGTTAGGGGCGGTCAAACCAAAACATGGCAGAAATTCATGACATCACTAACAAGTGGAATGAGTTATGTAGGTAGCTGTCAACTACCTGGTTGGGGTCCGCGAGATGATAATAATCGGTAGTTAGAGACCTTGAATGACATGATTCAAAACCGTTTTCAATGTCTCAGGTGCATTCATTCATTGTGTTCTCTCATATCCGAACCTTGTGAATTCCTCATCACCATTATCTTTTTCTTTTTAAGTTTACTTCACCAGATTCTACTTCTTGAATAATATCCTTGAACTCTAAGCTCTCCGATTACTGCTAATACTTTTACCACCTGTACTACTATGGGATTTCAGTTGACAATGCTAACTCTGAGGTAGTGTTATGGAAACTTGAACTGATGTACGTTTGTACGATGTTTTACGTTGCTGCTGATTGATTGATTGATTGATTAGACCTGTATCTTGTGGATGATGGATTTCGTGATTCTCCCAGTTTCCACTCCATACAACTGAACTGTTTTGACGTTTGTATTAAAAATTGTGACTTAGGTGTTGGTTGATACATTGGCGGTTGATAAAATCTCTCTTAATTTTAAAGCATCATTTGTTGTGCTAGCAGTTCATTGCACAAAAATCCACTCAATTTTGCTGTAACACTCCAAAATGTAATCTTACTCATACCGTTTATTTCTCATGGAGCGTAGGCTGCTGAGTAGCTACTCTGTTCTCCACTCCAGTGATTACGGCTTGTCACCAATGAGCACATGGCTGATATTAATGAGGGTGATTTGTGTAGATTATTCTATCTCCATAGTTGAAATCACGAACGCATCCTAGCTAGACAACCATTAGAAACCTTGGAAGCGGTGATCGTGTATGCTCATTGTCGACGAGTCTTATGGCAGTTGCATTCTCATTCTTTGTGTTCTCTCAAATTCTAACCTTCTGAATTCCTCATTATCTCTATTCTTCTCATTCTAAAGTTATCTCACTGAATTATTATACTTCTTGAATCATATCTTTGAACCCTAAGTCAATCAGTCAGATGCAACGTAGAACGTCGTGCGTAAGTACATCAGTTCATGTCGCCATACCACATTAGCACAGAGATATAATTGTCAATTCAAATCCAATAGTAGTAGAGGTAGTAAATGTATTAGAAGTATTCGGAGAGGTTAGGATTAGAAGATATTATTCAAGAAGTATGATTCAGTGAGAAAAGTTTAGAAAGTCAAAACTAGAGGTGTTGAAGAATCCAGAAGATTAGGATTTGAGAGAACACAAAGAGTGGATGCACCGGCGCCATTGCGAACGATTTTGAGCCATATCATTCAAGGTCTCTAACCATCGATTATTATCCATCTCGCGGACCCCAGTCAGGTAGTCGACAATTACCGACATGGCTAAGTCCACTAGTCAATGACTTCATGGATTTCTGCTACGTTTTGGTTTGGCCGCCCTTTCTTCCAACCTATTCCTATACTACAAAACAAAGCTCGACGAGGCAGTCGGTGGTTGGGCATACGCAACACATGTTCCAACCACCTCAACTGATGAAGTTTCATTACTTCATCTATTGATTTGCCATTCTTACCTACCACCCGTTTCCTAATAACAACGTTGCTCACTTGGGTGTCCGAGGATATACGAGCAATGCTTCGAAGACACCTATGATCGAAAACCAGTAAACCTACGAACCGTAATCTTCTCCATTACCAGTAGTACTTCTATTATCTTTAATACTATGGGATTTGAACTGACCTTTTCGTCTCTGAACCTAAACTGATGTACGTACGTACGTACAAAGTTCTACCTTGTAACTAACTAACTAACTGACTGACTTATACTAGGATGAAACAGCTAGCTGTCTTATTGGTAGTTCTAGCTTCATAAATCTCTTTCATTCCAGTGTAAACTGTTCACTAGACAAACAAACAAACAGATCCCTTGTTTAAAACTCACATTCATACAAAAAAACAATCAAAATTCCTTACTTACTTACGCCTGTTACCCCCCAATGGAGCATAGGCCACCCACCAGTTTTCGCCAACCAACTCTGTCCTGGGCTTCCCTCTCCAGTTCTGTCCAATGTTTGTTCATTCCTCTCATATCTTTCTCTATTTCTCGGCATAATGTGTTCCTTGGCCTTCCTCTTTTCTTTTTGCCTTGAGGGTTCCATGTGAGGGCTTGTCTCGTGACGCAGTTAGGCGCTTTTCGTAGTGTGTTTCCCATACACCAACTCCACCGCTTCTTCCTGATTTCCTCCTCCACTGGAATCTCGTTTGTTTTCTCCCACAGTACGTTGTTGCTGATAGTGTCTGACCAACGAATCCAAAGTTTTTTGCGCAGACAACTATTAATAAACACTTGTATCTTATGGATGATGCCTTTCGCGTAGTTCTCCAAGTTTCCGCTCCATATAGTAGAACTGTCTTGACATTTGTATTGAAAATCCTGATTTTAATTTCTTCTCTCTCTCTCTCTCTATAGCCTAGTAAATCATTAATTGAATCTGCAAATCAAATTAAACTTTCAAATCCACCAGAATTTTTACAACCAATTTTACAACAACTCATCAATGAAACAACATTATATCGACCACCAAATGATTTACAGTATACATTAAAATATTTAGCTAATCAACGTGATCATTATTTCTATGATGATAATGAAAATTCATTTAATAGACAACTGGTCAATTCTATGCAACAACATAGTTCTTCATGGTTATTAAATGATATGAAAAATTACACAGTACATTGTCCAAATTCAATTAAAGTAATGATTTTTCATTTATTCAATTATTGTAATTAATTAATTGATTAACTAATTAATTAATTGATCGTTAAATGTTCTTATGATATGTTTGAATGTTATTACGAGTTCATTTTAGTCGGTAAATAAGAGTGAAGACAAATGCTGCAAGTGAAATGATAGGCTACTGTAATTTGAGCATGAAGTAGTGAAACTTTATCAGTTGAGGTGATTTGGGACATGTGTTATTACGAATGCCTAATCAACGATTGCCTCGACGAGTTATGTTTTGTGGTGTTGGAGGAGTAGGTTGGAAAAAAGTTAGGGGTGGCCAGACTAAAACATGGCACAAATCCATGAAGTCACTGACAAGTGGACTTAGCCATCTCGGTAGTTGTCGACTACCTGGTGGGGGTCCGCGAGATGATAATAATCGATGGTTAGAGACCTTGAATGACATGGCTCAAAATCGTTTGCAATGGCTCAAGTGCATCCATTTGTTGTGTTCTCTCAAATCCTAATCTTCTGGAATCGTCAGCACCCCTACCTTTGTCTTTCTAACCTTATCTCACTGAATTATACTTCTTGAATAATATCTTCAAACCCTAGTCTTCTTCATTACCATTAATACCTCCACTATCTTTATCACTATGGAATTTGATTTGACATTTGCGTCTCTGTGCTAATATGGTGGTATGGCAACCTGAACTTATGTAGTACATACGTACGAAGCTCTACGTTGCAACTGACTGACTGACTCTAATTCGAGCATCCCAAGACCCCAAATTAATTAGAGGAAGAAGTCTTGATTGATAAGACGTAGAAAGTGTATATTCTACAAGCACCCAGAAAATATGAGGATTTTTGACAAGCACAAAAATCGGGTTTATTTATACATGATAGAAACGTCCTTGTGAGGAGAGCCACAAAAATAGCGTACTAAAATAATATATCAACCAATGACAGTCTAGGATTGTCCGAGTGGGAAATGTAGTTTCAAGGCCAATTGATCAGTCCATGCTCGAAACGACAAAATCCGAAATTAGGACCTTTCCCAAACATTCTGATACAACTAACTGTACGAAGAGTTTGCTCTGTCCTCTTAAAAGGACCATGCGCCAATACAACCACTATCAGAAAAGTCCTACTGACTGTATTCTTGTTGTACGGATGTTATTTTAAAAAATTGAGCGAACGAAAAGTAAATATCCGACTTTTTAATCGGGTTTTCTGTACAACTGTCGTCTAATTGGTTAAATTCTATCAGTCACAAGTCATTAAAATGAGACTGTGAGAATGGAGTTCTTGTGTGAAAGAATGATATTAACTATTTCCCAACCGTAGATGCTACCTTGACGTGGTGGTCTGGCTTGTCTGTCAAGATGACCCAACCGAGCTATATTGGCTGGAACACATGTTCCCGCAGGTTCTACCATGCCAGGCAGGTCGGTTGGAGAACGAGATGACTAAAAGCAGCGACTTAAGGTTTGACAGCGGAATTGTACTGCTGATTGTAGACGGCTGTGACAGCAGTAAGGTGTTTCCATCTGACAACCAGCATCCGAAGCGATGCTGCTACCTCCTCAAAACGGTAGTAAGGGGTTAGAAAAGGTTGTAGGATTTAATTTGTCCTACAGATGTAATTCTAGAACGGTAAACGCAATATTGGCGAGCACAGTGTCTATGGGAAAGCTATAGTTAGAATAAGACTAATTTTGCTTTAAACTTTATCTGTTTCTAAACATAAAAACAATTAAATTAGTACAATAAATAAGGAAATTACAATTATCAAGTAAGACCGGCAAACATACCGACCAACACAGCGTGTCTTATGGAAATGAGTACAGTTATGAGTCATATCAATAATAATAAGATAATAATGTCAATCAATTTGTAGGTAGGTCATTTACAACAAAGATAGTTTACAGACACGTCAGACCAGATCACGTAGTGGGCGCTTAAACCACATTTTGATTGGCTAGTTATGAAAATAACTAACACCCCCCCCCCGAAGCGGTCACCACGTCTAGGCCCCGTTGCCGTCATGCTCGAACAATCGACCTCTTCCAGTAGGCATAGGTTTTTTATCTGGGTTGATCTCTACGCTATCTGTCTTCAATAGAATCGTTCTTTCTCGACCATCTGTAGCACAATTGACTTGTTCTAACTATAGCTTTCTCATAGATTCTGCGCTCGCCAATATTGAGTTTACCGTTCTTGAATTACATCTGTAGGACAAATTAAATCTTACAAAGGTCGACCCTTAAAATGTCACACCTCACCCTTACCTCATGTACTTCCGTCTCCGGTGAGAAGACCACTTAAAAATTGAAGCTAAGACATTAGGAACATCTCGTAAAAATTTTGTGCGCGTACATGCCTTAAACAGTTGTCTCTTGGGCTCTGCAGTCACGCCGCTCCCAGGTTGCCCATACCAACACTAATTCAACTTCCTTTTCAGTTTCCTAAAGAAATGCTCTTCCATGGTATGGGCAGCCCGGAAGTGACATCCTTTCTCATACCCGTAACAGCACACGAGACCAAATCGGTCACAGTCAAATCCTTACTACACCTCTTAATATCTCTCTAATCTCCACAACTAACTTTAACTATTTGAATATACACCAGTGGATTCTAACTCCGGTGTTCTTTAAGTCTATAAGGGAAAACTTGCAGTCGTTAACTTCAACAGTTGTCCTACCGATTGAACAAAACTTTCCGATCCCCCCCGCCACAAACCACCACCTATACATCACATGACAAATTGTCTATGATTTTATTTTCTCTCGTTATTTTCCAGATGAATTTCGCTGGTTTCACATTAGAATCATTTCCAGCTCCATTAGTCGGTGGTATTTATGCTTTACTCCTATTGGGTAATTTAGATCTTAAAAATACACTCACTCCACTTGATCATGAAGCATTACTTAAACAAGATCCATTTGTTACAGCTGTCTACTTACATCGTCTGTTAGAATTGGCTCGTTTAACTGAAGCATCAATTACTACACTGGGTGATATCAGCGATCCTAAAATACGTAAGTGTTATTGTGTTTTTTGTGTTTTTGGTTTGGTCATGGTGTGTAGTGAAGGAGAACTCACAGGTGAGGGCAACCAAATTGTATTGGAAGTACTGAAAGGCGGCCGTTTCATCCTGGTATGGAACACATCAGTAGCGCGCACCCAGGACTCCTGCTACTCGCAAGATTTGAAGCCAGGACCTTCGGTCTTGCGTACGAACGCTTAACCTCTGGACCAATGAGTTGGCTGGGATCCACATTGTCTTCGATAGTTACGACATACACCCGACAGTGTTGAACTCCAATGATCACGTATTTGGTGCATTTGCGAAAATTTGTTAGGATATTCATCCAGTATGCTAAGAGAATTATTGGTCAAATCCTATTGGTCAAAATTATGGTCGTTTTAACTGTCAAAGTCAAATACTTCAATGTTGCTCTTATTGGTCATCCGGACCGTCAATATCATTTCAAATGTTACTTCCTATTGGTCGTCTTAACTGTCAATGCCACAGAATTCGATGCTGTTTCCTATTCGACCAAAATGTATAAATACGCATTATCTGTAACGTTTTATGACCACGACGAGGACCAGGGCTCGGTCCGGGATCTTGATTCTCTTCTGGATTCGGACCTCGTACTTTCTGGATGCTTGTAGACTACATGTTCTATTTCATATTACGTCTTCTTATTCTTACTAAATATGGGGGGGTTGGGATAATCGGATTTGAGTAGCATGTTGTGTCACCGGATCCTCGATCCTCGCTCTCGTTTTCCAACTAGGTAAACTCGTAATAGTTCAAGCATATCTCAAGTTGACGTGTTTACGTGCAGGCGTAACAAAATTGTCAGTCCTACAAAATTCTTACGATGGACTACACTACAAAGTCGTGCATGGAAGTCAGCTCATTGATACATTCCTAATAAAGACCTATGTCCGAGAAGAATCCTTACTCTCTGCTTTTCTCTTCCTTATTCGGGTGAACGCTACTCAGAAAGTAACATATAAGTAGTATGTAGCGTAGTGTTGCGTAGAAGTGGCTACCAGAAAAAAGGATAAATCGATATCAAATTACACGGTGTGATCAATGTAGTTTGAATACCACAAGGTTTTTAGGAGATGATAGTCAATGATCTAATTATTTTGCAAATGGCTGTTTCAAGATCAAGTGTACATATTTTGTTGGTTAAGCTGAGTCTTCTGTCAGCAGGACTTCTTTCTTCATAGTATGATGGTTGACTAAATAGCGGAAACCTTAACTTCTCAGAGGAACCAAATGATACACTGGACATCTTGGAAACAGTTAAACGATATAAACTTTTCAAATGACCTAACTCTTCTGTTTCACACAGCAACGAGTATAGGGGAAGACAACTAGTGTAGCAGAAGCCTCTACAGCATTGAGTCCCAACTTTACTTGCTCCTGTCATCTCTTGTGAAGCACAGTCCGCCAACCAGCATTCTCCAACTTACTCTGTCCTTTCCAGTCCTACCCTATTGCAATTCATTATTTTCATGTCTGCTACTGATTCTCGGCGCAGTATGTTCGTTAGTTGTCGTCTTTTCGGTTGATCTTGGAAATCTCAAGTTACAGCTTGCCTTGTGACGCATTTGGGTGCTTTCCGCAATGTACTATCTACCTCTAGTGCTTCTTCCTGATTTCTTTGTGTGCCGGAATCTAGTATCCTCTCCCACACTAGGTTGCAGCTGATTGGTGTCTGGCCAACGGATCTATAGTATTTTGTATAGAGAACTGTTAATAAACACCTGTATGTTGTGGATGGTGACTTTCGTGGTTCTCCACGTTTCCGCTCCATACAGTAGAACTATTTTGATGTGTGTGCATTATGCTTTCTTTTTACATGGAATACATTTAGTCATAGCCACCCGTAAAAAAAGGAGAAATGAACTGCTGCACAGCAGACTCATCCTTTAGTTAGCAGACAGATATCTCTCCTAAGCTATCAGTGACGCGAGTTAGCAAAAGCCAGCCAACGCCTCTGTATCCCTGCCGAGATTTTGTCACACATCTTGCCATCAGTAGTGATGAGACTCTCAAGATAAGCAAGGCAGTCAACATGCTCAACTGCTTCACTCTCTATCACTAGTTTAAGTGCCGACTCTTGCCAATCGCATTCCGAACATGCTAGTGCTATTGACCAAGGTAGTCAGAAAATTCTGCATTTTTTTCTGTCTTTACCAAACAGAACTAGGCAAATCTAAACTAAAAGCAAATACGTAGGATCTGTGTTCACAGTTCTCCTTTCGGTACTGTTGTTCCTTGTGTGTATGTGTGTGTTTTTGTTTACGTTCGTACCGTTAATTCTTTCGTAAAATATCGAAATTTCAAAATATTTTATTTTTTTGACTTTTGTTCTGTTGTTGTATGGCTATTCGGTGTTAGCGGCGTCCAATTCAAATATCCCAATACGACCCGAAATGCTATTTCCAAATCTCCTAGATATCAGAACGCAACACCGTGAGATTGGAGTTGTTTATTAGGTCGAATACAGAAGAGAGGTAGGCAGGAAAAACGGAATTTATTAAGTCTTTCAGATAGTGCGTATTTATACATTAAGGTTGAATAACAAAGAGCATCAACGTCTATGACATTGACAGTTTAGGACGACCAATAGAAAAGAACATTTGAAATGACATTGACAGTCCAGATGACCAATAAGCGACAACATTGAAGTATTTGACCTTGACGGTTAGAACGATCATAATATCGGCCAATAGAAATCGACCAATAGGATTGTACTTCTAAAAAAATAGTATTCTTAGGATATTTGGTGAATATCCTAACATGTTCAATAGTCAATTCGTTTTTTTCCTACTTTTAGATGCTGCTGCTATCGCTGCTCAAGATAATATTTTCTCAAAATCTGTACGTGAATCAACTGTAGCTAGTATTCTGGATAATACTATAGTTAAAGAACATTCATTATTGGATGTGCTTAAAACAACTTCTGTAAGTTACATTTCTTTATAATAATAATAATAATAATAATAATAATAATAGCGGCGGCCAGACCAATAAATGACAGAAATCCATGAAGTCATTGACAAGTGGAGTGAGTCATGTCGGTAGGTGTCGACCACTACCTGGTTGGGGTCCACGAGATGATAATAATTGATGGTTAGAGACCTTGAATGACATGGCTCAAAACCGTTTGCAATGGTGCCGGTGCATTTATTCGCTATGTTCTCTCTTAAATCCTATTCTTCTGGATTCTTCAACACCTCTAGTTTTGTCTTTCCTAACTTATCTTCTAATTCTTACCTCTCCGATTACTCTTAATATCTTTACTACCTCTTCTACTATTGGATTTGAATCGACACTTATATCTCTGTGCTAATGTGGTATGGCAACATAGAACTGTGATGTACTTACATACGAAGTTCTAAGTTCCATCTAACTGACTGACTAAATGACTAACCTTTATTCCAATAATTATATGTTTAAATAAAGTTAAAAAAAAAAGATTTGATTTATCATTGCATGAATTTTTAATTTTTTTAGGAAAATGTCAATATCGGTGATACTGGTATTGTTATAACAGATTCGATAAGTTTCACTGTGATTGGCAACCTGTTCATGGGTTCATTATTTGGTAATGGACAAATGATACCAGGTACAGGTGTACATATGAATTCCATGTTACAGCTATTCAGTGAAATAAAATTGAATCAATTCTCTGCTGGCCGACGTCCTCTTCTACCAATCGGACCGATTTATTTATCAACAACACATAGAAAATGTGGTATTCGTGCTGGTCTAACCTCCACCAATGGTTTATGGGGTTTGACAGATTTGGTAGAAGTGAGTTGAAAAAAAATGATATTTTGTTTGTTTTTCCTTAAGAATGAAAATGGTTCAGTGAGGGAACATTCTTAAATCTTGATTACGTCATTTTAATTGAAATATAAATTTTTGAGTGGTGGCCAAACTAAAACATGGTACACAAATCCATGAAGTAAGTGGACTGACAATGAAATATTGAAACTTCATCAGTTAAGGTGTTTTGGGACATGTGTTACGTGTACGCCTAACCACCGACTTCCTCGTCGATCTATGTTTTGTGGTGTAGGAGTAGGTTGAAAGAAAGCTAGGAGCGACCAAACCCAAACATGGCACTAGTTCATGAAGTCACTGACAAGTGGACTAAATCATCTTAGTAGGTGTAGACTACCTGGTTGGGGTTCGTGAGACGACTGTATTCGATGATTAGAGACCTCCTTGAACGACATGGCTCAAAATCGTTTGCAATGACTCAGATGCATCCATTCTTTGTGTTCTCTGAAATTCTAATCTACTGAATTCCTCGTCACCTATTTTCTTGAATTACACTGCTTGTATAACAACTTCAAACCCTAATTTCTATTACTGCTAATACTTTTACCTCTACTACTATGGGATTTGAAGTGACAATTGCATCTGTGTGTGCTGATGTGGTTTTGCAACCTAGTGGATAGGACGCACATTAAGGAAAGCACCCAACTGCGTCAGGAGGCAGTCAATCACTTGGAACCCTCAAGGTCGAAGGAAAAGTGAAAGGCCAAGGGACACATTACGCCGAGAAATGAAGACAGACATGAGAAGAATGAACAACAAGAATTGAACAAAACAGGAAAGGAAGGCTAAGGACACGGTAGGTTGGAGAATGCTGGTCGGTTGCTTATGCCTCATTGAGGGTATAACACTCATAAGTATATAAGTGTAATACAAATTGACTGTTGAAATCAACAAACGTGATGAATAATGATATTCAAGGACTATGGAACTAAATAATGTGTTTAAAATCAAATAACTTGAACAACTCAACTAATACTACTCTAGTGGATGTTACAACAAAGCGTCGTTGCCTAGAACTTGCTACCCTAGAATAAGGAGTATAGAACGTGGTCAAAGTAATTTTTTTTTAAGACCAGTGAAAGAAGTACCATTGTTAAATAACACATGCACTTAGATTACAAAATAGATAATTAGCGACGAGAACATGTCTATCTAGTTTCTAAATAGTGTTGTCTTTATCTCTCTGGTCTTGACATCTTCAGTATGTCGCACTATTTAATAAATTGTAACCAAGTCAGTGAGTTAGTCAGCCACAATATAGAACTTCATACATACGAACTACATCACTTCAAGTTGTCATACCACATTAGCATAGAGAGATGGAATCGTCAATTCAATTCCCATATTGGTAGAGATAGTATTAGCGGTAATCGGAGAGATTAGGGTTTGAAGATATTATTCACGAACTATAATCCAATCAAATCAATTTAAAAAGAGAAAGATAAAGGTCATGAGGAATTCAGAAGATTAGCATTTGAGAGAACACAAAGAATGGATTCACCTGCGCTATTGCAAACTATTTCGAGTCATATGTTCTCTCACCATCGATTAGTATCATCTCGCGGACCCTAACCAGGTAGTCTACACCTACAAACATGACTCAGTTCATTTGTAAGTGACTTACTAATGGATTTGTGCCATGTGTTGGTTTGGCCGCAACTAGCTTTCTTCCAGCTTACCTCTACACTATAAAACATAACTCGTCGGCAGCCAAATAGAGCAGTATCGTTTTATTTTTTTACCGAAAGATGGTAAGGCAATTAAATTAAATCTTACTTTCTTACTTACTTACGCTTGTGTCGGGGATGTTATATCCCCAGAACTCGCTTGTTAAATGCCTTATTTTGGTTTTCACGTTTGCGAGCATGGGCTGATCAGTTGACCGTGAGATTTCATTTCCCACCAGGAAAACCCATGACTGTCATTGGCTGCTGTGTATTTCGGTGTGCTATTTTCGTAACTGTCCCAAGGACGTTTCTATGCTGTTGGATAAATAAACGAGAGTTGTGTGTTTGATTGTATTGTGTGATTGCTGGGTGTTTGTAGAATATACTTTCTACGCTTACCAAGACTTCTGTTTTGCAGTTTGGGATTCAAGGTAGTCTACCTGGACGCTGGTAATTGTCTCGTTCGCCCTTTATCGACTAAGGTGAACTCGTAATAGCTTCAAGCATACCAAGTGACGAACATAACAGTTTGTTATCCCTAATGGAGCATGCCCAGCCAACTAGAGAATTATTTTTTCGGTTACCGTTTTTTTTATAGCGAGTTGAATTTTTCTCCGGGTCGCTAATCCCTATCTATACCCAATCCTCCTCCTCTAACTGAGCTTCACACCGATAAGTAACCTTAGATGGTGGGTTCCAGGCGCGATGTTTTCAAATCCTTTCTTCATTCTATTTTTCTCAATTTCTTTTATTTTTACACTTATCAGGTGATCAGTAATGCAGCATTATTCCTTCGTGGTGCCCAGTGTCAATCACCTGTTGTAACAACATTGCAACAATTTAATGCTATGCCTTCAATCACTACTGACAACAAACAATCTTTTTCATCATCTATACCAATCATAAGTCATAGTGTATTTAGTCCAGCTACAGAGAAAAATTGTATTAATCAAACGTATGCAATTCATTTGTCTCGAATACATCCCACCTATAATCGACTTGTACCTGGTAGTATACTTGTGGAAAATGCAACAAATTTAAATTTTCTCAATACATTAAAGCAATTCAATTATCATATTGAATTATTACCCAGTAGTAATCAACAACAACAATGGTGGCCTAGTCGAGTATTTTTAACCGGTTGGAATGGTTACACTATGATTACTAGTGGTGATAATCAACGTTCCATGAATAATAGTAAAACATTGTATCAATTTTAAAACGGAAAATAATGTACACTGTAATTTTCTGTCTCATTCACTCATTTACTCATTCATTCATTCAATCTTCAATAATTCTTGTTTTTCTATAATATTGATTATTGAATATTGAATAATAATCTGATGGCTGTGATATTTTTTCATAATACCAACATATAATCAATCAGTTATCATTATTGTGAATTGTTCGTTTGTCATATAATGAATGTCCTTCTTGTCTAATAATTGATGTTGTTTAAATGTTACTTATTCTTTCCTCTTTTTTTGTGCGGCGTTCAATTTCCATTGAACAATGTGTTCATTGTTCAATTTTAATCAGTTAATTAGTTAGTTAGTTAGTTAGCGAGTTAGTGAGTTTGTTTACTTATTTTTGCATTTTATTGTTTCTCCTTTGGCTGTGTAATTAATTATCAAATTAATCTTTTTTTCTGTTTTGGTTTGACTTTAAAGAGTACTTATTTTACTATATTATTATTATATATTACATATCTGTGTACACATATACATCTTTGTACTTCATGTGTCTATTTGTTTGTTTTTCCTCTGATCATTTTGTTTATGAAAGATGGTAAGGCGTTCACCTACAATACCGAAGGCTCCGGGTTCGAATCCTGCGAGGAGCAGGAGTCGTGGATGCGCACTGCCACTGATGAGTCCCATACACCAAGACGAAACGGCCATTGTCCAGTGCTTCCAGGTTTCTAATGGTGGTCAACTAACAATGATTGATTGATGATTTCAAATGTGTAAAAACGCTAAGCTCCAAAACTCTGCCCCAAAATATCGTAACAGTGCTCACTAGCGACTAGCTTCGTGAGGAAATTCTCGGAGTTCTAGTTGAGAAGACGTGACTAATGGAGTTGAACCCTGTCGGGTGTAGTTGGCAGTAACTAACAAAGACAAATGGGTGAGGTCGCGCAAAATCCCTAGATCAATCAGAGTTAGACATTAAGACCGTTGGATGCCGGCCGAGTGGTCCGATGGTACGGCGTTCGCCTACAATGCTGAAGGTCCCGGGTTCGAATCCTGCGAGGAGCAGGAGTCGTGGATGCGCACTGCCACTGATGAGTCCCATACACCAAGACGAAACGGCCGTCTTTCAGTGCTTCCAGGTTTCTAATGGTGGTCAACTAACAATGATTGATTGATGATTTCAAATGTGTAAAAACACAAAACCTCCAAAACTCTGCCCCAAAAAAGAAAGAAGATTAGTAGAAAAATGAATGAAAGAAAGATATCGATTTTGTTGTTGAAATTGAAAGCTTTTGATCATTGGGTTACTTGATAGCGGTGGACTGGTTTGCTGGTTTTTTTTTCTACTTTGTGACTGTGAAACTTATTCATCTGAAGTTGGGTTAGTGTTGTGGGTGTTAGATCCTCCACAACTCGCTTGATAAAAATGTCTTTATTTTGGATTGATTTCATTGGCAGATCCGTTGACCTTGAGATCACATTTCCCACCAGGAAAATCCTTAGCTGTGATTAGGTACTGTGTTATTTTTAGTGTGAGCTATTTTTGTGACTGTCTCAAGGACGACTCTATAGAGTATAAATAAATGCAATTTGAGTGTGTGTGCTGGTTGGGTGTTTGTAGAATACAATTTCTACACTATATCAAGACTTCTTACTGATTCAATTTTGGTCAAGGGATCACAGTAGCCTACCTTTAAGCTGGTTCATTGTTTTGTTCTCGTTATTCGTCTAAGGTGAACTCGTAATAGTTGTAAGCATACCTAGAGACGAGCGTAACAATTAGTGTCAGGGGGGTATTCATTTAATATCCTAAAAAAAGAATTATTTTTGTAAGTCTAATTCTATTAGTCGTCCTAAACTATCAAGTTCACATACTTTTAAATGTTGTGTTTTTATTATTGGTTAGTATTCACGGTGGAACTTAACTGTATAAATATGCAATAGTTGTAAAGTCCTATGATTCTTGTTTCCGGAATCCTTGGATCTTTATTCTTCTTCTGTACTCGGACTTCATATTTTCTGGGTTATTGTAGAATACACTTTCTACTCCATATCAAGACTTCTTCTTCTAATTAGTTGGGGCCTTGGGACGCTCGGATTAGTGTAGCCTATCGTGCCACTGGACCATTTTATCTTCGCTCTCGTTTACCGACTAAGGTGAACTCGTAATAGCAGTCAAGCATATCAATTGACGTGCATAACAGTTAGTATTTTGTATCATCTATGATTTCGTAGTAAGGTTCATCACTTTAATGGCGCACAAGCAGATATCCCCTTGAATTTCCGTATATGATCGTATACTTGTGCGAACCTCTGTTTTGCGATAACGATAATAAGAAGCCTAACACATGGATCAGCTGAAGGAATTTAATTCATGTAACTGCTCATGCAGACAGAAATGAGAATACAAAGTGTAAAAGTAAAGCGAAACGATGTGGAGAGGACGAGCCAGCCAACTCAATGCGATGAGACATGACCAACTATCTTATAGTCAGACTAAAATAGGCCAGATATGTGATAAGCGAAGCAACCAATGTACACACGCATACAGTCAAGTAAAAACAATCAAGTTTATGAGTGAATAATTGACACAATCAAAAGGAAAGTGAATGATAATTCAAGAAGTATGGATTAGTTAATTCATGCAAAGGCTGGGACCAAGTTCAGTAGGCCTGACATATTTGTACACAGGCTACAAGCTGTTAGTTTTCGATCCTATAGAATTTCGAAGCATTGGTCGCATATCTAGGGATCAGTGAGTAAACTCTGATGAGGGGTTAGACGCAGAACACTATGTGACGGTGCAAATCAACTGATTCAGATATTGAATTCTCATGCATTGCGTTAATCAGAACATGTATTACGTATACCCAACCACTGCCCACCGGGACGGGTGATGTTTACTGGTGTGGCTGGCAATAGATTGTAGAATGACACGAGCTGTCACATCAAGGCACATGATATTAAGTCATCGAGTATTTTAAACTGAACTGTATAGATATAGGTGTGGACTGCCTATTTCCGATCTGTGTGACTGTTGTAACCAGTGGCTGGTTGACGTCAGATTACACGGTTTTAAAATTGATGACAAGAATTGTCGATCCAATCTTTTCTAGTACTAATAATATTTCAACTTATTCTTTCATTAGTCTTAATAATTTCATGTTGACTAATGAATTAGTTTCTTCTTCCTTGTTGTAAACAATATCAATATTAATCGAACTTAGTTTGGAATACTATTTTTACCAATTGTGTCTGTCTACCTATCGATTTGCTCATTGTTTTGCATGACAGTTGATTTGTTCAACGTTCAATATCTGGAGATATATTTTACTTGTACTGATAAACAATAATTAAAATCAATCTTAACAGATTAAGTATTTCTGCTTGTTTAAACTTGTCAACAATGTCTACCCCTACAAATTGAAAAAAAACAATCTAATTTTGTTTGCATAAGCAAGCTCTGATCTGTTTTTATTTTAATGCACAGAGACACAATTTAAGAAGGTGTACGGCTGGCAAGTCAATACATATTCTGCCACATCGTCTCTCATGCCTGGCAAATATGCACTTTGTCTTACTAGATCAATCGTTCGTGTGATACCTGTATGAGCTACATGGTGACACTTCTGTATCATCTTATGCCGCATGTTCTTTGGGATCACTGCCACCCAATTTTCATCATCATCTCGCCAGATCAGGGCTCCATATGTGCTAATCCTCAGTCTCTCCTTTTGTCGAAGCAGCAATAATACCTCGTTGTTCATCTGCCGTTCGTCAATATCTGCCCCTTCTTTTATCATTCTGATCACCTCTCGAAGGTTAGGGTCAGCCATTTGCTGCCGGACGAGTTCTAGTGGGTCTCCGTCAAGGCTATTGACTGAGTATGCTGTCATTGGGAGCTCAGCATCCATCTCCGGCCTCGATAAGTAGTCCACCACCAAATTTTCTCTGCCTGGAACGTGGCCGATACTGAAGTCGTAATCCTGCAGACGTATCATCCATCGCGCCAACTTACCACGGTAGTCTTTTGCTGTTTTCAGCCACTGCAGGGGTTTATGATCAGTCTCGACGTGGAACCGCCTACCTAGCAGGTGTGTGGCCTCCATTTTTCTATTGCCCAGACAATCGCTAAACACTCTTTTTCGATCGTTGAATACTTCTGCTCAGAGGGTGTGAGAACGCGACTAGCATATTCTATCACACTGTTACGTTGACTTAGGACGGCGCCTATTCCACGGTCACTCGCATCTGTTGTCACTGTATGCAGTTTTTCAGGTTCAGGTAATCGTAGCGTCATCCGGCGGTCGTCCAATAGGTTTTTGATACGATCGAACGTTTTCTGAGCAGTCTCTGTCCACGTAAACTTAGTGTCGCTTAACAACAACAACATCATCAGCAGCACAAACTCCAGATGGAAGTTTGTGAAAGCTCCACAACTATAAAGCATTCAGCTCAGCAAACGAAACACCACCAAAATCATCCACCTGAGCTAACTAGTTTGAGAAATGTGATGCTCATAGTCTGTGCTAGTATATCTCAACTTTTATTTCAATCTTTGTCTTCTCCTCTGCTAGCTTGGTGACCAGTGTAAAAATATCAGCTTAATAAATGAGACTTATGATGATGTGCGGAGTCCCCAAGATGTGATCGTGATATGTACTAAGCATCCCAAACTGACTATTTGAGCGAGAAGGTAAGAGCAGAAGAGAAATTACAAATACTCGTATATTCCACCTGTTTGGAAAAGGAAGTCATTTCCAGACCAATGACATGTATTCGTCCTTCAGGACATGTTTGACGGCCATTGGATGACCTTCTCATTTGGACATTTCTGATTGGCTAACTATTTACATATCATCCAATGAAATTACATTTAAATTAATCAACTATATACTTAGAATTTATGAATCAAATTATGTTTTGATCAAAAATTACCATAAAAATGTATTCAAAGTCTCTATGAGCAGATTTTTAAACTGAAACAGATTTTGATTTAACAGGCATACATCTTGCTCATGATTGGTCTCCTTTCTGATTCGTTTAATTTGGGGATTAAACTGCACCACCCCATCCCCTCGTTTTAATAACGTGATTCCCTTGGGTTCACTTAAATATGAGCCAACCACCATGAACATAGAAGCTCCGGTTTCGAGCACTACAACTTTCACTGATGCTTAATTTTTTTTACAGGTCGTCCATTTTGTAACGTTGGATAATGAGCTTTCCTTAATCTGTAACCCAAATTTAGACAGAGAAAGATAGAGCTGATGAGGAATTCAGAAGGTTAGAATTTCATCGAACACAAAGAGTAAATGCACCTGCGCCACTGCAAACAGTTTTCAGTCATGTCACTCAGGGTCTCTAACCATCGTTTATCATCATCTCGCGGACCACAACCAGGTAGTAGACACCTACGAACATGACTCAGTTCACTTGTCAGTGACTTCATGATGTCCACAAATCGTTCATTTCCTCTCAGTCTGACTCCAATTTATAATGTCCAGTTAA